AGGGGATGGGCGGGCGGGCGCGGGCTGGGCGAATGCAGGAATGGAAGGAAGACAGGACGGACGGCTGGATGGGTGAGCAGTTTAACCAAGCCAGCTGTGGAGGTTAAGCACACCGTGGGTAAAGATAAAGGAGAAGCAAGAGCAGGAGAATGAAGGCAACAGCGTGCGCATCCTCTTCACAAGAAATGTCAATTTTATTCACTAATTGATGGGAAATTATGGTAGGTTTAATGTGGAAACAGAAAAAGCCCATGGGGGCCATGTGTCTGGTGTGGGTCCCTCCAGACCCCAGCATCTGCAGGGGCCTGAACCATGGGAGTCCATGTGGCATCATAAACCATGGCCATCAGTCCCGGGGGGACGGGTTCTGAGAGCCACTGCGCTCCCCCACTCCGAGGGGACATCCTCCATCCCTCCAGGCCCGGCCTGCCCTGCTCCCCTCTTCTGACTGCCGTCCCGGAGGGTCTTCGAAAGACCCACATGATGCTCTCTGAAACGGTATTTCACACCGACATTACCAGTGAGGACCCGCGGGTGTCCCACCTTGACCTGGCCATGGGGAGTCTCCATTCTCCCTGCCACGCCCCCAGGCTCCCCCGCCCCCGGTGTCTCTGTGGGGCTCCAGACGGAAACGTTGCAGGGGCCTGGGGGTTTCCTCCAACACATATCCCCCGTCCCCCTCCACCAGGACCACCGCGGGCCTAGCACGGGACATCCCTGGAGGTCTGGGGTGAGTGTGAAGCCGGAGGTTGGGTTCTGGCCCCAGCTGTGCTCAGCCCTGGGCTGTCCCTCCTTCTGCAAGATGGGGGCAGCGACACCACGTCAGGGGTTCGCGATGGCAGCCGGTCAAGGCCTCGACTGCAGTAGGCAGGACAAAGGAGAAGTGTTCACCAGAGCAACAGCTCTCCTTCCAGAAGCCCAGAGTTCATCCCGAGGTGTGTGTCCCCCACCCCCCAGAGCCTGACTTCCAGAATGGGAGGACTGTCCCAGGTCCCCCGGTTCTTTCCACAAACCTGGCCAGCCCTTCCCCTAGGCCTCAAAACCCCGCCAGGCCCTGCCCAGAGAGGCAGGGGGTTGGGGGACAGAGCCAGTGTCCTCCAGGCAGGCTCAACCCATCCCAAACCGGCCCCAGGGAGGGATTCGGTGCCCCTCCCCCACAGCCCATGTCAGCTGATACCGAGGCTGTGACCAGGGGCCAGAGACTGACTTCCAGCAGCATCTCCGTGCACAGTAACCCCACAGGGTGGTTGGGGCCGACTGGGGCAGGCGCCCCTGCAGAGGAGACTCTGGGTGTCCTGACCACAGCTCCCTTCCCCCAGCAGCGGGGGGCTGGCTGACACACAG